CTTGAATTTTCCATAGAATTTAGTATGTTTATTAAATAGAATTAACAATAATACCACCCCTGAGGTCGGGGGGGGGGAGGGGGGTGCTTAAATGGATAGAATGTGCGTAGGGCTGCATGTATATAGAATTTTGGATTATATTTATGTACTTGGCCAAACACCAAACAAAAATCAAAGAACCAAAAACAGATTAAATACACTTTATAAGTCGAATGTTCTAATGTTTCATTTCTTGAAGTCTTTCCGAAAGAACTTGTTTGACAAAATGAACGAGAAACTTCAATAAAATCATCATATGGGCGGATTTGATTCCACCACCATTGATTTAACCCCAGCAAGTCTATTATAAATCATTCTAGGAATTTTGGTAATCAAATCAGCCCATACGCGTAATGCTTCTACTGATAGTATGTTCAACGTGTGATTCTAATGTAATAATCTCGAAAAATAAGATGGATAAGATGGCCATAAAAAAGATTACTTTCACATTTCTTTAATTAATTGATAGAATGCGAAGAAATCATAAAAAATTTATACGTACAGAAATCGACACAAAAAAATGAATAAAAATACAATTGATGTTAAACAAGATTGCAACATGCTCTAATGACATTAAGGTTCATCCCACTGATTCTCTTTGGATATCATTGCCTTCTCAACGATATATTTATTCTCTTTGTACTTTTGACTCTTCTCGAATGCAAATACCTAATTTGATTAATATGTTATTTAAAATTCACTCAAATTGTCCCATTAACCATCTAATCAATCGACTTACATATTTCCAACCAACTACATTTGAGCAAACATCGCATCGGATATCTTTGACAGAATGTACACCAGTCATCAGTAATCTATCCTCTTTTGGACCTAATGACACGTTTGTTCTAGAAATCGTATTATAAAAAAAAAAGGGTTTAATCTGGATGACTTGTTAAACAGAATAATATATTTCATTTGAAATAAGACGTGATGGATTAACTAACACTTTGTTAAATAAGTATGCACGTCCAAGGCGTCCTTGAAATGCCTAAATTAACTCACGAACACGAAAAATATTATCAAAAAACCTCTAGTTAATGAATTTTAAAGAATATTCTCTAACGAGTAAAGACTTACATACCTTTGATATTAAATCTTCATGTCTGGCTAAATGAGTATGGCAGGTTGTACACGTGTAAAGACGATCAGAAGAAAGAAAAGTTTGGTGAGTTTTCATATCCCGTTTCTCAACTAATGTTGTTGACGTGACCAACTCTTGAAATAATGTCTCATGCAGTCGATCATATTCTGTGCGAATATTTTTGGGATGTTCCTGGTGTAACTTGACAACTTTCTGACAATTCACATGGAGCTTCAAGGTTCTTGTCATTGTGAGAAAGTGAAATTCAAGGTTATAGTTCGCCAAATAAAATTTGTTTTTTTTTTTTTTTTTTTTTTTTTTTTTTTAAGAATGAGCCACTTATTAAGTGTTGCGTCAAATAACCTGGTTATTGGTTATTGAATATCGCAGGTGAAGTCTCATACGCCCGTCCCTTTCGGTAGATGCTACTGGTATCTTTAATGTTGGCCATGCGCATATTATTATTAACATTGTTGTTAACTAATAAAATTGTAAGAACCTAACATGAATATTTATATATAGCTCGATTTGTCGTAAATTAGATGGTGGTGGTGGATATTCAATTAATATCATGGGTCAGGCATGTAATTTTTCTCACTGAAAAATATATTCTGCCGGATAGATAGATAATAATAAAAAAATTATTAATCTATCTAGAAAGATTCATTAGAGGTTCAAGGAATGGAATATGTAAAGTTAGTAAACAACTCAGCATATACATATACTTTATGAATTTTATTCATCTGTGTTTTTTTTTATTATATAGAGTATATCGAGGAATTAAGGATAAGAATGTCCCCAAAGATCAACAAGAGGAATGGTATGTTGATATATGCGATGTATTATAACATGATCCTTATGATGATGTATATTGTAGTAATAGAATGATAATATTAACAGTGGAAACCGTAGACATTTTTGTGGTGAATGCTCTGCGATGCTTTGGGCATACGATCCAAAATGGCCTCAATGGGTCAGTATTCTTTTTTCCTTCAAGGTCTTCATCATTTTAATCTATTTTATCTATTCAAAAAAAGTGCTATCCATTCGCCTCAGCGATTGACACCGATCTCCCAGTAAGCAAACGCCCTGTCTGCATCATGCTCAAGCATAAGGCGAATTGGGCTCAGGTACCAAGTGAAAAAGATGCCGACCTGTACGACGAATATCCGGATGAGTCACTTGAGGAGTGGCATAAACGTAATGGGCTCTGGCAAGAATAAAAATCTGAACAAGACGTGAAATCAAGAGAGATAGCATTGTATATTAAAAATTTTACGGTTTGGAACCTTATAATTCCTTTTTTTTTGCAGAATGTTTATCCTTTGCGGATCGAGAAATTGGATTTTCATGTCTTGAATAACATTTTGCATACTATATATTCATATGATAAACCTTCAATAAAGATAAAAAGCACTTGGTCACTAAAGCTAAACTTGATAAGTTCAAAACAAAGACTTCTGCTATTGCAAATATTTTCTTATAAAAACATTCAGCAATCTTACACACCTAATTTATTTATATAATATGTTGAAAATCCATCTGATTGGCCATTATTTCTCGTGATTAGTACCACGTACATGTATTATTTTATGCATGTATAACAAAGGAATTTAGGTTATGCCGTACTGCCTAAATACAATCCCAAAAGTTTGTCAATTCGGTATTTAAAATTTTCAATAACGTTATCGTTATGATTTCCATTAATCGCTAAAATTTTGGTCGACCATATAAAAAACTATTAGGTATACATGCAAAAAATATCTTAACGTTAATTGATAACGCATTCTGGTTTGCAACATGATTATTGTGTAACCAACAAGTTTGCACTCTCACGTGATAAAAATATGTAGATGTTGCACCAGCGTATCAGAACCTGGATATGTGGAACTTGAAGTTTTTACGTAAAAGACTGCCTCTACCTCGCGTTACAAGAGAAACATGGAAACCCAAGTCCAGAAAACGACGACAACAGCTGGAGTCATTCAACCTCAACCAACACCAGAAAATTCTCTAATTACTACTAATCAACCCATTATCATTGACCTTGACCCTGAACCCTCGCCTAGAAATGAAGGCAACACCAGCAGAAATACATTAAATACTGATACTGATAATAATATTAATAAAAATACTATTAATAATAATATTAATAAAAATAACATAACAGCAAGTTCAACAGAAATAACTGTCATTGACTTGGAAGTGGAGGATGATAATAATATTATTATGACGGATGCTTTTCAAAGTCAACTTTCACAACCACAACAGCCCAGCAATTCAATGTCAATTACAATCACACAAAATGAACAAGCTGATCAGGGTGCATTTGCTCAAGCCCCGCCTCAACCTCAAGTTCAGCCTCAAACTCCACTCCAAGCTCAAGCAAAATCGTATGCTGCTCCAACTCCAGAAGCACAAATAACTGCGTCACCTCGTGTTTTCCCGAATTATCTACCACCTAAGGCGAGCACTCCAACTCCATCGACGCCAACAAATATTCCGAGTGTTGCTGATAGTAGTAATACCAGCACCCCTGAACAACTAAAAAATACAACAGGAGAAAAGAGACATGTTCAAGTAGCCCGATCCTATGAAAATTTAGCAAAGAAACATAATTGGGTGAATGCTAATGGATCATATTTTCCAATTAGTGTTGATTCATTATGTAGTTTCATAAGACATAAAGCAGATACAAGTACCATAAAGAGTATAGATTGGTATGTCGGGGCGCTAAAAAAGTATCATATCACTGAGTTAGGTATTAAAGATTGGGATGATGTTCGTAAGAATCCAAAAGTAAGAAGTGCATTGGCAGAAATTGAGGAAGAAGCTTCAGCCAAAATCAGAAAAGACAGAACCCATGGTGAATCAGACATGTCAGTTGGAAACAAAGGCAAGCAAAGCATCATCTCTAATGATGCCAATGCTTCAAGATTAAGCCCGGTTCGCTCTGCACACAATTATTCGACTATCTATTCATCACATATTGGATCCTCAGTCCGTGGCTCTGGTTCAAAAAATGTGCCACGGTTAGATCCTGCGAATCGACCTGCAGAAGCGATCTTAGCAATGCTGGGCGTAATGGACTCTGCTGATGAAGATACAGAAAAGGTTTCTAAATCAAAATCTCCCAACAACGTCATAAACATTGGTAAATTTTCAAATCAATTATTGCAATCGTCAGTTTACAATAATTCTGATTATTATCTCTTGATGATGTATAACTAAGATTCGGATGATGATGCCGCTATGACATCCAGGAGAGTCGGATCAAGTTCAACTCTATCCAATTCGCATTTAGTGTCTTTAAGAAGGCGGCGTAGAAATTTACAATACGCTGAACCCGAAGATGAAGACGAAGACGATGAAGATTATTTACCGCCTAAAGGTATTTATTATCTTTTATACCAGAAAATATTAGTCATTATTTTCTCTAATTAACTTTATTTTAATCCATTAGGAACAAATAATGGGGTGCCATATGTTCCAACAAAAAGTTTGTTCTAGTTTTATGGAAATTCTATGTTTATCTTCTTAAAGATTGGTTTAATTAATGATATTATAATGTGATGTGGTCAAATAATAGAACGAAGAAAGCGGGATCTGGAAATGAACATGCCGCATGTAGATCCCGTATGTAGATTTTAATTAAATTCATTTACTATAAATTCTTTATTTTAGAATTAATACATACATTCATTATTATTATGTAATAGGATGAACCGGAGAGTTTCAAATTTCGGTACGATTATGCTATTACAATACTGAAATCCAAATATATCGGCCAATGTACCTTACATCCAAAAGGTTGTTTTGAGGTGCAGCCGGACTTGCATGTAGAATTGAATGAAAACATGTTTCGACATTGGGCGTCGTTAATAGTACGTATGTTCTCATTAGGTGTGTAAAGCACGTAAAAAACTCAAAATAATTTCTTTTAATGTATTTAGGCTTCTGGTGATGATGTTTCAGAGGAGAAGTTACCTGATTTTCAAGAGACGCCAGAATTCCATCAACCAATAGTCAAAGTAATAAATATATAATATTTAAAAAAATTTAGCCGACTCTTTTTAAGTTCAATGCATGAAAATAATATACCAAAAAGAACTTTAGTTAATAAAAATTTAATTCATTCTTATTAAGCTTAAAGTTAGAAAATTTTCATTTTATAAGTACATACAGAATACATGAATTAAAAGCCGATTTAATTATTAAGAAATCCAATAGTTTTAATATTATATTCCATACATATTTCTAGTATTTTCTCTTGCTGCACGCATAATCTCACCAATTTCGACGCCTTTTATTTCTGCAATTTTTTCAGCGATAAACGGAATCATTCCAGAATGACATACAGACACCTTCTCATTTGATCTTCTATTCCTATTCAATTTTGACGGTATCATAAATGGTGCATCAGTTTCTAATAAAATTCTCGATATTGGAAGATCTCTCAACGTGTTTTGAGTGTTCTTTGCACTTCCAAATGTCACAACTCCAGTAATTCCGATATACAAATTTGGGAAGAATTCGATCAAGCTTTTTGCGAATTCTGGTGAATCAGTAAAGCAATGGACATGAATTCGCCAATGGGATGGCACATGTTTAGTTAGGATATCATAAGTATCTTGTTCCGCCTCACGTGTATGAATCACAATCGGTTTCTCAAGTTCAACAGCCTTCTTCAATTGTCGAATAAAAATTTGTTGTTGCACATCACGCGGGGAATTGTCATAATGATAATCTAATCCAATCTCGCCTAATGCCACAGTTTTCGGATGTTGCAGGATGGTGAGCATTAGAGATTCTATATAATCATTATAGACTTTTGCATTGTGAGGATGAACTCCAGCAGCGAGATAAATGTAAGGTTCGGAAGCTTGTATACGCCAATCCCTAAATGTATTTGGGAAAAGCGTGTCACCAGCAAATGTTTCAGGATCACAGAGAACATTTATACAGAATTCAAGATTTGATGGAAAATGTGTGTCACGCAGTATCGAATAATTATCAAGTCTTAGTGGTGTGGATTCGAGACGTTCTAATACGTAATGTAGATGTGTGTGAGTATCAACGAAGGGGATCGAAGTTAAAGAGGAAAGAGTCTCACGAGAAGGAAGATAATATTTTGTTGAGGAATCTTTTTGTTGTTTTCCTTGTTTCGCGGAAGCTTTTTGTTGAGAACTAGAAGCAACCTGCCTGATCTCTGAAGTGTTGTTAGCAGACATTTTCTTAACTGATAATAAAGATAATAAAGACCAATTTTGGAATTGAATATCAAGATGATTTTTATAATTACTGAAATTTTTATTTGAAATTATATTGCGAAAACGATATAAAGAACAGACGCGAAACATTTATTTACACAATGAGTGGTGTTTTGAAGATAACTGCAAGGGATGACTCATTCTTGTTATGATTATGCGCAGTAAATAACGACAGGGACAAATCGAAATTAGCGAATTTTTTTACAATTCCCAAATCTTTTGCTTATTTTGGAATAAACCTATTTATGTTATTTGAATTGAACATTATAAACGTTGGTAATTATTTTTAATATTTGTATTTTTTTGTGATTCCTCGTTTATATCAACACCAATACATCATTATTATATTAGTTAATTTAGTTAATTAGTAAACTAATAAATAAATTAATCTATTGTCTCTTAATCACTTTTAGAGAACCTTTAAATAAATAGTATCTTATCCGGCAAACAAAAACTTGATTTCAACTCTCACTGGATTATTCCGGTTGTACTGGGACAGGCTACATAGCATAAAAGGAAAAAGTGATTATTATATGATGACAAATAAAGTTGATTAATTAAAGTCAAGGTTGCATACGAACCTTTACTTCCCATATTTGCTCAGCATACTCTCTTATTGCCCTATAAGATTAAGCATCCAAGTTAACAAAAATCTATAAATAAAAATTATCTAAATAAATTAAATACCATACCTGTCACTAGAGAAAAATCCCATTCTTGCAGTACACAAAATACTCTTTTTAGACCAATCATCTTGATCCTTGTATGCCTCGTCAACCAACTTCTGGGCATCAAGATACGAGCCAAAGTCGTCAGAAATGAGGTAATAGTCTTTGCCGAAAGTTAATGTATTAATTAGAGGTGAGAAAATACGCGCGTCTCCAAAGTTTCCAGTTTCGATTGATGTGATAACGGATTGTAGAGCAGGGTCAATAGGAACATTGCGATACCTATGTGTAAATGAAAAATAATTATTATATTTGCTATAATTTTTTGTGTTATAATTGTTATCTTATTATTACCTATGCGCATGTCTCAAATCATCCACTTGTTCGGCTAAATTTCCAAACAAAAAGATATTATCATCCCCGATTTCTTCGTGAATCTCAATGTTAGCTCCGTCAACTGTACCAAGAATCAATCCACCATTCAACACAAACTTCATATTGCTGGTGCCTGAAGCCTCAGTACCGGCCGTTGATATATGTTGCGAAATATCAGAAGCAGGAATGATTATTTCGGCAAGCGAGACGTTGTAATCGGGGATGAATACAACCTTATTTTGGGAAATTAGAAAATTTTAATTATAAATTTTCATTAAATAAACAAATAATAACACAGAAATTTACCTTCAACAGATCTTCGATGCTTTCATCTGCATTCACCACTGCCGATACATTATTAATAAGTTTAATGACTAATTTGGCAATGTAGTATCCAGGTGCTGCTTTGCCACCGAATATCACAACTCTTGGAACAACGTTTTGTCGTTCTTCGGGTGTTAATGATTTTAGTTCGTGATATCGATGAATAACACTAGCATATTGAATTTGTCAAAAGTTAATAAATCATCAGTAAAGACAATAACCCTTAAATTATGAGTTGCATATCTACCCCAAAATATTCATGAATTGACGTTTATATTCGTGAATTCGTTTCACTTGCACATCAAACAAAGAATTGGGATTTACATCGATTCCAGTCTTTGATTTAATATATTCTGCCAAACGAACCTAGCAATCGATAAAAAATTCGACGATTAGAAAAATTCCAGATTCAAATTATAATAATTAACAAATAAAACGTACCTTATTCGAATGTTTGACTGCAATCCACCGACGTCTGAAATCCTTGTTCTTAACATGTTGTTCCAAATTCTTTAGTAAATTCAAGTCCTAAATAAAAATGTCTCTGTAAATAGAGTGTAAAAATATTTTTAAAATTTAGAATATTTTTTATTATATTACCTTTAACCATTTTTTATGGCCAAGTGCTTCAGTAATTAGTTCACTTAATTTGGGGTTGGCTTGATGTAGCCACCTATTTCAAATACAAAACTGATTAATCTTCTAATCTTATATATCCATTTATAAGTTTACACAGAGGGGTATGCTCGTTATACCTGCGTGGCGTTATACCATTTGTTTTATTTTCGAATTTATCAGCGCCAAAGTATTTGACGAAATCTTTAAAGATCTAAATAATTGTAATAGAAATTCGTTTCGTTGAGGAAAACAAAATCAAAAATAAACCGAGCTCAAAATTTTCAATTGTTTCTTACCGTTGTTTTGATTAAATTCGAGTGAAGTGCAGCGACACCATTTACCCGATGGGATCCTTTATTAAAATAGGATTAAAAAAGTAAGATCGAGGTATATACATACTAAAGTAATTTATGCAAAAACTCACCGACAACAGCAAGATGTGCCATTCGAACAAATTGTGGCGTAGCTTCTTCAATAATAGACATTCTCGCAAGAACATCACGATCATTTGGATATTGTTGTTCAACTTTTTGCAAAAAGAACTTTGTAAAGAATTTTAAAATCGTAGAATTGTTAATCTTATTTTTAATTAACACGTATCATATACATATATAAGATTCTCACTTACCAGATTAACATCAAAAATAATTTGCATATGTCTGGGCAATAAATATTCCACCATAGGTACAGGCCATTTTTCCATTGCTTCAGGAAGAACTGTGTGATTTGTAAATGCAAAAGTGCGAGTAACAATATCCCAAGCATCATCCCAATTGAGACCCTAAAATTAGTAAATAAGAAACATATTAACGGTTGCGACTGACCCAAAAAATATGGACAATATCAAATTTGCTTACCTCCTCATCTACTAAAATTCGTTGCAACTCAACAATTGCAAGTGTCGGATGCGTGTCTAATTTAGTTTAATTCGAAATATTAACATGGATGCATATTGTAACGTATGCACAGACAAATTCATAGTGTTTACTTTACCATTAAGTTGAATTGCAACTTTTTCAGGGAATTGATCCCAATCCCGTTCAGTTTTTTTAAAACGACGAATAATATCAGAAAGACTTGCGGCAACCCAAAAGTATTGTTGTTTAAGACGCAACTCTTTTCCAACCATATGATTATCGTTCGGATACAAGACCGCAGTAATATTTTCCGCTTTCATTTGTTCTTGGACAGCTTGTTCATATTCACCTTCATTAAAGCGACTAAGGTCAAATTGCCTTTTTGGTTTACTGCTCCAGAGACGAATGTTTATACAATTTTTGGTTCCATAACCTGGAATTGGAACGTCGTAAGCTACCGCTTGAACAGCATCGCCGCCTTCCCATCTACTTCTTATGTGACCATTTTCATCGGTATATTTGGATACAGATCCTCCGAATCGAATTTCGATGGCAATATCGAGACGTTGCAATTCCCAAGGATTATCAAAATTTAGCCAGTAATCAGGGAATTCCATTTGATAACCATCCTTCAATCTGACAAATGGAGTTAGAATTGATAAAGATTAGATATAAAATGCAAAGAAAGGCAAGCCCTATTAAATTTGGATTAATTGCTTACCTTTGTTGGAAAATACCATAAGTATAGCGGAGACCATAACCCCAGGCAGGATAATCCAAGGTAGCCAGCGAGTCCATGTAACAAGCAGCAAGACGCCCAAGACCACCATTTCCAAGAGCTGCATCAACTTCTTGTTCAAGGACATCTTCCATACGGAAACCGAGTTCCTTGACACCCTCTATTCAAAAGATTATTATATTAAATGCTAGTTATCTAATACATATAGACATATTATACAAATCATAAGTAGCATCATTACCGCCAAATTGTTCTTTTAAGTCGAGATTAAGTAAAGCATTATCTAGTGATCTCCCTAAAAGAAATTCCAAGGAGAAATAATAGACACGTTTAGGATCTTTCAATGTGTGGGCCTAATTAATAATAAATGAATCACGTGAGATTAATGACACACAAGGATCTACTCGCAAAAAATAAATGTACATACCTGTTGTGTTACATTCCATCTTTCAATCAATCTGTCCCGAACACTAGCAAAAGTTCAATCGAATTAGTCTTTGGGATAGCCGATCATTATGCTCAAAAAGATAATTGTGGCACATACGTGTGTGCAGTTGCTTGATATGCACTGAAGTTGTCAACATTTAAGCTCGAACGTGCCAAAGTAGTAGTCACGTGACGAATGAAAGACTTCTGAAAGCCATCTTTATCTGCATAAATAAAAGAATTATCAGAGTTTAATATAAAACATCAGTACATTCATATAAAATCATTACGTTAACTCTGAAAATGTCAAAATTACAAACCAACAGGTTCCGAAGCACCATATTTTTCCCATAGTGCCAGAGTTTCTTTCGACCACTTAGCTCTTTCTTTTTTCAAATCTTGATGCGCAAAACCAGTAAAAGTACGTTTATGATGTTTCTTTGCGTCTGATGTGTCGACTGTTGCTGCCATCGTAGTATTACTTTTTCACACAATTTAATGGGGATAGAGAGAAAGAGAATGCAAACACAAAAGCAAGAGAGCGTGTGAAATTTAACTAACAGAAAAGCTGGAGGTATATATATGCAAATTTTTCTTTAAAATTTTTCATTGACCAATCAATGAATGCACGTATTCTGTGTTAAGTACTGTGCCTTGATTTGGAACGATAAACGCCATCAAACTATATATATTAATTCGACTAGAAAAAATGGGGCATTCGGTTACATCTGAAACCATCATAAACGGTTATAATTACTTTGATTTTTATCTTTATATCTCGATCGTTTACTATTATGGATTATAAAAAGCAACAAATCTCATCTAGATAAAAAAATTTAAAAATCACATGATTATACATTAATTCTTCAAGGATCTTCAAAGAAAAAATCATACGAAAATCATATTTTTAGTCGTCATCATTACATTACAAAAGCTATCGTCATGAAACAAGGAAAATCACAAACAATGTTTGCTTTTGTGTGAGAATTCTTGCGGTTGTTGATCCAAAGTCCATCCTCCTATGTTACATTGATTTTTTCTTATAACCGAAATAAAAATTGTGCAACTCGATTCCATTTTAGCCATTTCAAGTTTCACCGAATTTTTTTCACCCAACGTTGCATATGCCATTTATTCCATTATCCAAAAAAGGATAATATCCCACAAATCAATTTTGACTTCGTGCATAATATGCTTAAATATGACGTATTTTTGACATTTCCGTTTTAGGTAAAAGGCAATGCTGGCAAGAAAGATGACGATACTACTGGATCAAAAGAAGTATCGGTAAGCATGTTCGTTCTCTCTTTTCATTGTAGCAAGTGAATATTTTCTTTGAATTCAAGCTTTGCATATATCTTTCTTCAATGATCTGAGCATTCGGTCGTTTATTACTGAGAATAACGTGAAGGGAATGGATCATTACACGCACATTTACAAAAAAAAATGAATCTAGTCACATATTCTCTATCGTTATATTCATAGCACGCTTTATATCATTTTTTAAAAAAAGTGAGCTAAGTTTGTGGTGCTTTGGATACTCTGATTAAGAAGAACATAAAAATGGAAGAAAAACACACAAAAATGCACACAGACCACACCAGCCAAGTAGTTTTACTTGATTTTCCGGCGTAGCGTACGAGACGGGTACCTTCTTTCTTGAGACGATCTAAATTGCCTACGAGAACTGATTGTGCTTGGTCTAATATCTATATCACATTAATCATTTAAAGCGCATTATATGATCAGTCAAAATTTCAGTGAATAGATGGATAAATAAAATAAAAAAAGAAAATAAACCTTTTCATCTCTTTTGAGTATTTCACCAAAAGTGATTGAATTCATTTTTAATCGTTCTGCCATTTTCACCAGGTCCTGCGTCAGTTCTTCTTGTGTCTGCCGATGATACTGCAGAACCGATTCTACATTTGTGGTTTCCTCTTGATCAAATTTATTTGTCCTGTATCAAAAGAACAATTAAACTTGCAGTTCACATACGTTTAAATAAAAAATCAAATAGAAAATCAGATTTTACCTTCGTTGTCTTATTTCTGATTCGTTAATAGCATCTGATGAAAATAGTTCTAATTTTTTGATATAAATTATTTTAACTAGATGCGATAAGTATAAAATAAGTCGCATCGAAAGATTAAAAACCTATTCGTTTTTCCTGTATACTCTTTAAATTGTCAGGCTCATCATCATTATTATTATTATCGTTGGTATGTGGTGCCTAATATTATATAATATTTATATAATATTTAATAAAAATAAATAAGAATAAAGAAAAAACAAAAAAAATCCCAAACTAAACCTGAAATAGTTCCCGTTTTAATTCTTTCTCCGCCTGACGAACTAACTTTAATTCCAATTCGTTCTCCTTATTCTTTTCGTTTTGTGTTTGATACGCATTTTTGGTAAAACGCGCCTGCGAGAAAGTACGATTTACTGGAGAAATCTTGTTTGTTTATTTATATATTTACGGTTAAGAGTTTTGATCCAAATAAATTCGTGCATGTATCATTAATATTTACTAGTTTGAATTCATCCACAATGTCAGATAAATGTTGGATTTTGCGTGCATATTCACTTATCGCTGTTTTATCTACATTGCTGATAGAATGTTTAGAATATTATAATGTGGAAAAGAATGTTAGAGTAATTTAAACTTACTTGGTCGAATCCAATTCAATTTGTTCCAAAAGTTTTCTTAAATACTTTATATTCTATTTCAATTAATAAAATATTAGGAAATCTCAAAAAAAATTTAAAGATTATGAATCTCAAAGAAATCATAATGCCCTGATAACAATTCATTACCGTGACAAATTTCAATTTTTCAGGGCCTCGTATTAACCCATTTTCCTGCGAGACTTGATTCTCACAGACGGATAGTAATCGTCGGAGATTAACCTCAGACTTTGTTGGAATGGTTATTGCGGATATTGACATTATTGAGGATGGCATTGAAACAAGATATTTGTACCACGATCAACAATAATTGTTAGAATTTGAACATATGATACGGATTTATACTAAATGGAGATTAAGATAATTTGTATCGGTATCGGTATTGCTATCGATATCGGTATGTCTATCGCATTAGATATATAATGACAAGTTATTACTTCTCTTAATACATATTTTTTTAGTTGATATTACAGTCTGGTGTTTTACCATATATAGAATTGTCTTTTATAGCAATGATCAATAGTGTGTAACAATTCTAGATTTTGTG